TCCCAATCAGTTTTCTTTTGACAGTGTCTAGAATCCGATCACCTCTCACAACCTCTGCCTTTGTCTCTACCAGGATTACTTCAGCAGCCCCCTTCCTGGTTTCCCGGCTTTGCCCTTGTCCCGTAGAATCTATTCTGAACACAGCAGCCAGTGCGATTCTTTTAAATATATAGCAGTGTATGTCTCTGCTCAAAACCCTTCACATTCAAACTCAACATGTCTAAAACCAAACTCCTGACCTCCGCACCTCCTGCACACACACCTTGTAGCTCAGAGTATGAGCCCAGAGTCCTTGTGTCTCCCAGACTGAGTGGTCCAGCCCCTAACCCCACATTACACCTCAGATTCTACTTCTGCCCCTACAGCCCCCCGACCTTATTACTGCCCCTTCCTTGTTCCCTCCACTCCAGCCACACTGTCTTCCTCACCGATCTCCAGGGTGCATGTGGGCTGTTTTGCCTGACTGATGGGCTCTCCCCTCAGACATCCACATGGCTCACTACCTCACCTCTTCCGCGCTCTGGTCAGTGTCACTTCATCAGCGAGGCCTTCCCTGTCCACCTCCAGGATCATGGCACCACCCCCTTCCCTCCCTATACCACTTCTCTGCTTTCCTTTGTATATTTTACTTGTTTATTTGTTCCCTTCTCCTTCTGCTCTAGATTATAAATTCCGTGAAGGCAGAGATCTGTGTCTCTTTTCTTCCCTGCTAAATCTCCCAGCAAAAGAATGCTTGTCAATTGTTGGTGGTCAGTAGGTATTTGTTGAATGAATAAATGAGTGGATGGATGGATGAATGAATGAGTGAATGACGAAGATCGATTGGAGGAAGAAGATACCAATTAGAAGCACAGAATCCAGTGGGGAGGCTAGTTTCATAGGCAAAGAATTGTCATTCCTTCAAATTGATACCTGTCTTTCCTTGAACAGTCATTTTCCTTTTTAAAAAATGCATTGTTCTTTCTCATTGAAACTTAAACTCCTTGGAATCAAGGACTGAATTCTTATCCCTTTTTGTTTCCTCAGAAAATAAACGTTCAGTTATAAGGAAAGGTAATTCTCATTTGGCCAAAAGTACTCAAGTCACTCAATTTTTTTAAGTCTTTTTTCTTTATGCTAACATTTTTTCTTATTTATTTGATTTTATAGAATTTGCACATCTTCCCATTGAATACTGCTGCAAAGCAAGGAGTCTTTAGACCAAATAGGGTTAATCCGCACAGTGGTAACTATGGTAGAACCACAACTGATAACTGCTTCAGCCGAGCCCAGTGGAAATACTGTCACTTCAACAATAGTCTAACCTAGTCACAAACACTGCTTGGCAGCTGTCATATGTCATGGCTTTTAATCAACTCTAGGGCAAGAATCATTCCATTCTAACAGATGGACATGAATTTAACCAGACAATAAACCATGTATGTGCCATAAATATGTTTGCTGACGGCATGATTCCCTGTACAGAACTTTAAGAACAGCTGTCTTATCATGAGCTACTGTTGCTTAGTGAGATGATTTGTTAACTTAATTCTGAAAGATTACATTTGTCTTTAATGTAATCTTTAATGTTAATTTTACCTTTAATGTTAATCTTTCAATGGCTTCCCCACTACCAGTTGCCTAGTTGTTTTGGGGGGGCAATTTTTATAAACAAAGTTATTTACATGAGATTTTTTAAAACTAATGATATGGTTCCTTTGCAAATTTGGTGTCATTTGTCTAAAAGGGCTTATTACCTTTTGTGTGTTGCCAGGGCATGCAAAACATTAGTTGCATGCCCTGGCAACATTAATTAGTCATTTTCTTTTCTTCATGCTTATTTCCTTTTAGTACTTCTGTTAAATTACTATATTAACTACTAGTTAAATGGCTTTAGCTGTACAATTTCTTAAAAATACAATTATTTTGTCTTTCTGCTTTTCTCTGTCATCTTCAGAGACAATGTTTTTTATTCTCTCGACAGTGCTTCCCCTGTGGAACTTGTGCAATTTAAAATATGAAGTATTTGTTCATTTTGTGTTCTTCACAGGGTAACTTCTATTGATGTACCTTTTCATTGGCACTATCCACCAGGCAAAGTATAAATTGCTGTATAAAAACTGGAAAAGTGTTTTGAGTAGAGCAGATGTTCTCTTAGCATGAAGCAGATGTAAAACTTCCAAGTGTCTGTCTAATAAAGTATAGCATTTGGTTCTATACAGCTGGTGCCAAGATTACCAATTAATCATGTTGAAAGGCATTTTTACTAATCAGGATCCCCTCTGTTCTTTACACATTCTGGGTATGTTAAAAGAGAGAGAGATGGGGCCAAAAGTGGCTTTCTACTTTTAGTACTTTGAGCGTTTTTTTTTCTCTTTCTGCATCTTCATGAAGTCAGTCTCCTTTTAGAACCATGTCCGATAGGGAGCCCCCTACATGTGAATGACTGTTTTCGTTCTCCAGTTTGGTTTGGGCATGAGTGTTTGATGTTAGAATATTCCATTGAAGGCAGCCACACTTTGAGCACTTTAAGGCAGCTGGAGAGAAGGAAAGGAATGTAATATACTTAATGTGTTTTTTTTTCTTATTTGCTCGGGCAAAAGCTAGTATTTGCTTAGTTAATGTCACTTCATAGTTTCTATGGTTACCTGACCACGGAGGAGGTTGAACATTCTGGAAACAATTAATACCAATTTAGTTTTATGTTATCAAAAGCAGTGGAGCAGTTTTTCCCAAAGATTAAAGGTGAATGGATTAATGTGACTGCCAAAAGATAAAACTTTACAGGTATGAAAGACACAACACAAATCAGTAGCAAATGTAAAAGCTAAAAGAGCTACATCATTTTCTGTTGTCCTTTTTGTAAAGCAAGTGTGCTAATGAAATTAAATTTCAAAACCCGATGAGCCTTTTTTTTCTTATGTTTGATTTCCCAAGGATAAATTTGTTTTCTGGGCTCCCCTGGTGGCGCAGTGGTTGAGAGTCCGCCTGCCGATGCAGGGGACACGGGTTTGCGCCCCGGTCCGGGAAGATCCCACATGCCGCGGAGCGGCTGGGCCCGTGAGCCATGGCCGCTGAGCCTGCGCGTCCAGAGCCTGTGCTCCGCAACGGGAGAGGCCACAATAGTGAGAGGCCCGCGTACCGCAAAAAAAAAAAAAAAAAAAAAAT